TGGTTTGGTACCTGAGACTATATTCCATCAGAGAAGCAAGAGGCAATAAGCTGGCGTACTTTAAGGGAAGATAGCCATGTCGTAGGAAATGCGGGAGGGGCCATATATCCTCAGTCCTTCCCTGCACCCCAGGAATGAAGTAATGTGCAGTAATATTTCGCAGAATATTTGCGGGTATATCCTCAGTAGTTAGATCAATAAAAGGAATACCGCTTTATATATGTTTTTGCAGCGAGAATATAGAGGATGGCGAATGTGAAGTCCAGTCCAACCCAAGTGGAGGTTGGCTGGTGCAATTCTCTCCTGCACCTCTGCTGGGGATCAGACAGTTGAATTTGTCAGCTACCAACAGCTTTTTATATCGCCGCGCAATCTAATTAAGGCAATTGTTTTACCAACCATGTGGCCTTCAATTATCATGAATGTTCTGCTTGGTTTTAATTCTCTGTACCTTGTTGTGGTTAGACGGGGCGTGATAAACTAAACTGCTACACGCGTCTCCCGCGCGGCTAGCTATCTTACCCCCAACCAACCTCCCTATATTTAAATCTTCTACAGCCACAGGATGTCTGCCATGTCCCCGGAGCGTATATCGAGGCATCGGGCCAGATACATTATGGGAAGCTCTCTCTCTCTACACGATCAAATTGGTCCGCTACGGGCTCGTTGACTCGCGCTTCAAAGTTGATTTGCGTATTTGATTGGGGCTCTTCAGCGCCTTATCTGAGCTCTATATCTATTGCCTCTGATCCTGGCATGGATGGCTTGTCTTCCTGCTGCTAGGCCGAGTTCCTTTGGGTCACAATGCCACCACTCAAGACTCACGGAGGTCTCTCCAACATAGTATAGCATATAACCCCCAGGTAGTCGCATTTTTCTGTGATTCTGGCTCCAACCTGCGACTTTATACTGTCATAAAAGTCCAGGATCTCAACACTTAAAGTCTCCCCAAGCCAGTCGTTGAAGATTCGGCCCATCCACGATAAAGAAGGAAACCAGAGGACCACAATGTGCCCTAATTCCTACGCCATCTTCCATACCTAGGATTGGCTGCCCAACGGATCCAGGGCAAACATATTTGGCGAAGCGAAATCGATAACTAGCAGCATTTTTAGAATCCCAACATCCAAAGCCGTTCATTGTTCATTCGAGCTGGCTTTGGTCAATCTCATACAGCCAACGTTAAACTGGGTAGTGACTTGGCGCGCTAAATAAGGCAACGCTGAACACGAAATAACCCCGCGGCTCAGCCCCAGCTCTTGGACATTTTGCCACTCGAAAATATAACAAGGTTTATTTTATATGCTTCTCTCCTTGTCTTGCGGAGCGAGAATCTACTGTTTCTTGTTTTAGTGTTTATTTATTTTATTTTCCGACCAATCTAGGTTAAACCGCCGCCTCTATGTAGGCTCGACCAGGGCTGAAAGCTGCCTCAGTAAACCGAACGGGGGTTCTCGAAGATCAAGCAGAATGAAAGAGAACACGCCACTGACTGCTCCTCTCGACGACCATGGCTTCAGCCATGCAATTCGCGAATTGAGGAAGTCCTCATCCATTGTAAGTACTAGGCGTCCTGCGACACTTGCTTCCGAGAGGGAGAATGGTGGGTGAAGGTTGTTCCATTCAAGTTCACTTGGAGGCAGATCTAGTATCAACCGACGTGACTACATATTATTGGCATTTATATATCTTCAACAACAGAGCTCTTGCCTAATTTAGTCTTTTGATCATTACTTTTTAGACTTGCAGGAGCTAATACCTCAAGCAGCCAGCGATACCGAAGCAAATTCTTGTGCCGCGCACACGTCGAGGGAGCCATGGTATTTGGTTTCCTGTTGTTTCCATACTCGTACTCTCTTACCTCTGCAGCATATAACTGATTCTGCAGATGAGGGCTCGCTTCCTCCTGTTTTTAAGGTGTGGGTGGACAATGCGATGGAAAGTTTGCTCGAACAAGAAGATACGGACAAGAATTTGCAGATTACCATTCTTGACAATGGGCCAAAGGTAGGGGGATGGCCATATCCCTTGTACTTACTTTTGAAGGCGAGGATCTTTCTAAGCTCAATCTTAGGTAGTCTCTTTGGGTACCTTTCTCTCCGACGGCGGCCGGACGCGGGAAATCCGCGGCACATATCTGCTTGCGAATTTACTTGAGGAGCTACATTTGACCAAGGGCAGACTTGCATCGAAAATGATCCACTTCCATTGTGTCTCCAAAAATCGGTTAGCCGTCCATTCCGCAAAAATAAGGACC